ACACATACACGCTCACACACACACACGCACACTCTCTCTCTCTTTCTCTCTCTCTCACACGTACTCCACACACACACAGACACACACACACACACACACACACACACACACACACACACACACATATACACACACACACTACCCCCACATACACACACAACAAAAACACAAACCACCAACACCCCCCCCATTCACAGTCACACGAACACCTTGCAACCTCTAATCCCTCACCTTCCCTCCCTCACCCTTCAGATACCTCTACAAGCAGCTGCTGACGTACTCAGGCAGCCGGTCCCACCCGATCTTCACGCGCAGCGAGACGGGCAAGCTGAAGGTCCGCGACAAGATCCAGGTGCACCTGTACATCTCCCGGCCGCCCTGTGGCGACGCCGCCGCCTTCCCGACCATCAGCAACTTCCCCAACAAGATGAGGGCCATTCGAAAACAGGGGCAGCTCCGAACCATCATTGATGACGGTGAGTAGATACATAGATAGATAGGCCTATATAAATACACACAGGTACTTACATAGATACATAAATGTACCGGCAACTTCCCCAACAAGATGAGGGCCATTCGGAAACAGGGACAGCTACGGACTATTGTTGATTACGGTGATATGGGATGGATAGAGGGAGGGAGGGAGGGGATAGATAGATAGATACATACATACATACATAGATACATAGTTAGATAGACAGATATATAGATCAGCAACTTCCCCAACAAGATGAGGGCCATTCGGAAACAGGGGCAGCTCCGGACCATCATTGATGATGGTGAGTAGATAGATAGATAGATAGGCCTACATAAATACACACAGGTACTTACTTAGATACATAAATGTACTGGCAACTTCCCCAACAAGATGAGGGCCATTCGGAAACGGGCAGCTACGGACCATCATTGATGACGGTAAGATAGATCGATAGAGAGAGAGAGAGATGGATAGATACATAGGTAGATATGTAGATACATAAATGTACCAGCAACTTCCCCGACAAGATGAGGGCCATACGGAAACAGGGGCAGCTACGGACTATTATTGATGACGGTGAGTTGGAGGGATGAGTGGATGGATGGAGTGAGGGACAGATAGATAGATAGATAGATAGATCAGCAGCTTCCCCCAACGAGATGAGGGCCATACGGAAACAGGGCCAGCTGCCGACCATCATGACGACTGTGAGATAGATAGAAACCCTTCCTCCCTCCTTCTTTTCCCGCACGCACCCCCCTCCTTTTCCCTACTTCTACCCTTCCCCACTCCCACCCCTTTTCTCCTTCTCCCCCTCC